GTGCTTTTAACTATGTATGGTTTTTTATGTTTTTTGTAACTCTGTTTGTATTTCCCCTCCCTTTTGAGTTGTGAGCCGCCCTGAGTCCCTTCAGGCGGCATACAAATAAATTCAAACAAACAAACAAACAAAGAAACAAACAAATACATTTTGCATGGTGGTTGTCTGGTTATAGTTCTTAATCCAGTGTCCCAATTTCCTTATTGAGGCCTGTGATTGGATGAGCTAAACTTGGGTCTTCCCAGATTTTTCCAACACCTGGATCAGTGGTGAAATTCAATTTTTTTTACTACTGGTTCTGTGGGCGTGGCTTGGTGGGCATGGGAGGAGGAGGATACTGCAAAATATCCATTCCCACCCCACTCCAGGGGAAGGATACTGTGAAATCCCCATTCCCACCCCACTCTGGGGCCAGCCAGAGGTGGTATCTGCTGGTTCTTCGAACTACTCAAAATTTCTGCTATCGGTTCTCCAGAACCTGTCAGAACGTGCTGAATTTCATCCCTGACCTGGATTTGTTGGCTTTCTTAAAACACACTTAATGCTCCCCGCCCCCCAGCTCTCTTTCAACTTAATTTAGTTGAAATGCTATTTTTATTTTAAAAAAACACGTTTTACATGTTCAATTTATAAGCCATTTCATTTGCCCAGACTACTCTAGGAATCATACAACATAATAAAAGAATAAATAAGTAGAAAAATAATTAACAAGAAAAATACTATTAATTACTGTTATTATAGAAGAAACCCCAAGAATGATCAGATTATCAAATTCAGGTATCAGCACAATCACAAATCACCCTGTTCCAGGGCTTGCTGAAGAAGCTCCTTTTGAAGGAATTTCCTAAATGACAACAGGGTTTAGGTCACATAGGTTTTCTAGTGTTCTATTTGTAAGACATAGCCATCCTCGAAAAAGGCTTGTCTGCAGGATTCAACAAGGCACCATAATTTGAACAATGGGAATCAGGTGTATATTAATCTACAAGATATGATAGAACAGGAAGTCATAACTGAATAGCCAGTCCAGCAAGTAACCAGCTCCTGAGTAAGAAAAGCTTTATAGATGACCATCCTCCTTGGAAGCTGACTGGCTACTTCTGCATCTCATGGAACAGAGATATTATCTAGGTGAATTATAGTGTACACAGAAGCACTCAGAGGACCTCATTCTGAACCAGGTATAGCTTACTAGTTTTTTCCCCAAAGTTGGGTCCTTTGTACATTGCAGTAGTTCAACCATTGATAATATAGTTCAACTATTTTCAATCAGCAGAAAAAGGAGTAGTTGTCGCCGTAGTATCAGCTGTTTGGACACTATACAGGATGACACTGAGATGGCCATGGTGGATCTGAAGGAGATGGTGTGAGACAGAAGGGCATGGAGAATGCTGATCCATACAGTGGCTGAGGGTCAGACACAAGTGAATTGCTGATGATGACAAGTTCAACTATGGCATGAATGACCATCAGTGGGGCCTCCCAATCCAGGAAGGGGTATAATTAGCATAAAAGATGGATCGTTGCCAAAGACAACTGCTACCTGCTCTTCCATCAAGATTGAATCAAGGAGAACCCCCCAAATCCCACCCCATTTTTGTCCAGGGAAGTGCTACACCATTAAGAGTTAAAGTTGGAAAGTACACAGAAATGCAGATTCCATGAATGCACACCCCTTCAATCTTGATTATTTGAATGTGAGCCTCTCCAGCCATCCCATAGCAGCCTCCAGGCACTGAAATAGAGTCGCAACAGCATCATTGACTCAAGCATGACTACTACAAACATCTGAGATGATGGGTGTGATCCCAGGCCTCTAGTCCAGAAGTGGGTTGCTCCCAGTTCAGACCGGTTCGGGAGAACCAGTAGTGGTAATTTGGTGTGGGTCACTGAATCAGTAGTGATGGCTGGCTGGCCACGTCGCCAAACCAATTTGCTCTGACGCTCGCCCTGCCTCATCTTCGCCATGTGCATCCACACAACTGCCTCCTAGTGCCTACACATAGGTAAGCAGCATGGACTGCTCAGGGAGACTGAGGCTTCACAACCACCGCCTCCTAAGTGGGATTGAGCCTCCCAGCCTCCTCGATGCATGCAGGCAGGAGGCGGCAGTTTCATTTGCTGCCTGCAAACTCCGGGGGGAGGAGGGAGCAGCCAAGTGAGCATGCCAGGATCTGCAGCCTGCCCCTAATCTGCAGTTTACTCATGAGCAGAATGCTTGACAGCTGACAGATTGCTGTCTTGCTCGTTCGGCTGTGGCCACCCCCCTAGAGCTCACACGCAGCGAACAAAGCCACACTCTTTGGACTCTCCAGTTCTCCTGCGTTCAGATCGACGTGGCTCAGGCTGTTGCTTTTGGGGCCTTTTTTAAAAAAAGTTTTACAGCATTATTTTATTTTTCTGAAATATACATTTATCTGAAACATAAATTTGCCAAGCCACGCCTACAAAATAAATCACGTCCAGAGAACCAGTAGTAGAAAAAATTGAAACCCCCCCCCCTGCTCTAGTCCTCAACACCTTTATATCAAATTAGGCCAGTGGGATTACTGTCTTGACATCTCACCCCACCAGACCTGATCAGCAGTTAAATTAACTCCCCAGGCCTCATGATAGAACAGCTGCCTTCAAGACTAGAAATATATTCTTTTACCCTCTCCAAACAGAACAGCAATCATGCGAGGCTACTAGAATCCAGATGGTTAATCAACAGCAACTGCGGAAGGATTACAAAAAAAGGAAAGAAGAGTCTACAATTATATAATTGTGCCTTCAATGGTATTATAATGAATTAAAATTACACAATAGTAATTTCCTATATTTCAGAAATATTCATAATATTTTCTGTATATAATAAGGTAATAAATTATAGCTTCCAGTAAATTCAAATAGTTCAGATTCTCATATTTAGGAAACTGTGCAGCATTCATTTTCTGGAGAGATTTTTGTATTCATCCAGTTCTTTGGTCAACGACATTTGCTTCTTTGTTCCTATTGAGAATAAAATACAGATTGAGTCATTTTCAGGGATAATTTGATCACATTAATTTAGATGTTAAAATGTTGGGCAGAACTTCTCTGAGTGATCATAAGCAATTTGGGATGATTTATCAAACAAGGGGAGACTAACAGTGTTAAGACAAAGATCACTATTACAATTCACTCCCATTCTGCCTGGACAAGCCAAGAACTGGCTTAGACAAGCAAAATGCAGAACAAATTTATTGGGAGCTTCCAATTTGCACACTTGCCATTGCACACTAGTGTCAGTGTTTAAAAGCATTTGAATCACACCTTTCTTCCTCTTCAAAACTATTTCAAAGTGACCCTTATACCCGTGATGACAAACCTATGGCACATATGCCACAGATGGCAGGGGGAGCCATATTTGCCGGCATATGAACCAACTGCTTTTTCAGCCTTCTGGAGGGCTGGGGGAAGCCATTTTTCACCCTCACCAGGCTTCAAGAAAACTTCCGGAGCCCTGAGAGAGCAAAAAAACAGGCCAATCAAAAGTTTAAATTTTCAGTTGGCCCATTGGGCATGTTTTTTTATCCTCCACAGGCTCTGTAGGCTTTCATGAAGCCTGAGGAGGGCAAAAATAACTCCCCCTAGCCCCATAGAGGCCCCCTGGAAGCCGTAAATGGATTATTCCCAAACTTGCAGTTTGCCTGTTAGGCCTATTTTTCGCCCTCCCCAGGATTCAGGAAAGCATCTAGAGCCCTGGGAGGATGAAAAACGGGCTCAACAGGTCAATCGGAAGTTTGGAAATGATCTGTTTCCAACTTCTGGAGGATCTCCGGGGGCCCGACGGAGCCGTTTTCATCCTCCCCAGCCTCCAGAGCCTGGGGAGGGTGACCCACCCATATGAGGGGGTCAAGCATGCATGTGCGTGGCAGGGGTCACACGTGCATGTGCAGGTGGATGCGGTGCAATGAATTATGGGTGTGGGCATGCATGGATGATAGCACACACACGCACAATTTTGGCACACCTTTACAAAAAGGTTAGCCCTCACTGTCTTATATCATCAAAATAATCTTGTAATAATAACAAAGTTTAGGAGACTTTCTAATTTTCCATTTTTCCATTTTGAACTACTAAACTACCCAAATATTTTCTTGGTGTCTCGTTTCAAGGTAGTCCTTTATAAAAGCAAAGATATTTCAGCTGCATTACAATTCTTTACACTTCGCTTTCCTTCAATATCCCTCACCTTTCTTAATAGTCCCAACATCCTACATGGGGAGAAGAAAGTACTAGAAAATCAGATTCATTTAGCCTGCCTGTAGGAAAAGCATATTCATCACCTATGCTATAACAGATTCATGTCCAATGAATATTTTATGAATATTGACAGAAAAGCTTACACTCTGCTTTTTGACACTGCCCTGTGAGGGCCACCAGTATGGATTTTATAATACTTGAAACATTTTTTGGGGGGGGGGATTAGTATTTTTGCACTGTATAACTAGTATGGCTTTTTTGTATTTAAAATTTTCTTCTCCAAATGTACTGCCAATAATTTGCCATAAACCTAAACTTTTAGAAAACCAGAAATGACAGTAAAACAGCTTTTCGCAGGCCTCCATGAATAAAACTAATATTTGACCCAGCGTTAGAAAGCATAGAGTATATCTGAGCCACACCCATTCTGACATTTTTCTCTTAAAAATGTTTCTTTTTTATTCCGAATGCAGTGCTCTTTTCTATGGCTATGCAAATTATCGGGTGGGTCAATTCTTATGATGTAGCTGGCAGATTATTATTTCTAAATCAATCAACTTTTACTCTGAAGTTTTCTATTGTGCAAATATTAAAAGTAAAGTAGGCTATTTTTCCAGGTTCCCCACCCTCCATATCATTGGGAGATTCCACTTTATTAAAGAACTCTGATAAATTGCTTTTAAATGATCTTCCAATTTGGTTGCTTATTCGAAAAATTAAGCTGAATCTATGGTCAGATTTAGCCATCACCTGGTCACCCCCCCCCCCCAAAGCAATAGGAAAGACACCTGACACCTACTTCTCCTGCACGTCCTGAGACAGGATTTTTCTGTGACAAAGTTGTTATTGTTGCCACCACAGCCAGTGTAGGTGAAGCTCTCACATGTTTTTGTCCTAGTATTGTAATAAAAGCGAGAGACTGAAGCTGAACATGATCCTTCTTCTTTTGGACTGTAACAAAATGAAGGAGCAGCTTTAAAAGAAAAAAGAAAAAAAATATCATTAGTATATGACATGCTTTAAATATAGAATTAAAACAACAACACCCACTTTGGACATGAGCAATTTTTAAAAAATCATTTTTGTTAATTAACTAACCATAAACATCAGTGCAATAAATTGGACTAAATTTGCAATTGAAATTTTGGCTCACTGCTCCTTTTATATTCAGATGGGACATTCCCATGCTACAGAAAGGGAGAAACTTCAGTTACAACTTTGCAACTGCTAAAAGGTTAAGTACCTCATATAAAGCAAAGTATATATAGCGATTCCAGTCATTCATGTAATTCAAGGAAACACACCTCATATACATCTCCCAATCTCGCCTTCATTCTGAAAAAAGTAGTAACTAGTTAAGAAATTTTTTCTAGCAACAGAATACCATGATCTCTCTTGGAAAGGGGAAATAGTTGAAATTTATATTCTTCCTGATGGTTTATATGGAAAGACATTTCAGATGTATCTCAAAATAAAAAAAGTGAATTCAGTACAGTTCATTTGCTAGAAATATCTGAAAATGTGAGGGAGAAATGTAATGCTAGTGGTAAAAATTATCTGTGCAAACATTCCAAAGAGGTGATTTACAAATCACATCAGGGAAATTAAAACATGTCTCACATAATTGTTAAAGAAGTCATAATCTTTGCTAGATGTTTTAGAACTTGTATTTGTTTGCATGCACATATACATGTACATAGATATGCTTCTTTTGGTACTGCTAGGAAACCAAACTGAATACAAGTTTGAGTATCTGTGCAGTTTGCCTGAAACTCAAGGCAACTCAAATCCATACTCAAAAACCTTTTAAGCAGCCATTAGCCCTGCAAAGAATACATCTGCTTAACAGAATAACAGAGTTGGAAGGGACTTTGGAGGTCTTCTAGTCCAACCCCCTGCTTAGGCAGAAACCCCATACCACTTCAGACAAATGGTTATTCAATCTCTTCTTAAAAACTTCCAGTGTTGGAGCACTTACAATTTCGGGAGGCAAGTCATTCCATTAATTAATTGTTCTTTAATACTCTGAAGATATGCTTTCTTTGCCTTAATATGTTTATGAAACATCTTTTTACTATTCTTTCTTTAACTTTTGTGAAAATCAGTATGTTTATTTTATAAACCAGAATGTCAGACATAAAAATTTTAAAAACCGGGGATTTTTTGGAACAGCTAAAATGATAGGCTGAATGGATATTTCCAAAGATTGGTTTCCGTTCATTTAGCCCTTATAATATGGGTCAAAACTAGCTAAGGATAAGACTAGAAGCAGATAGAAGTTGATTTGTTCTTAGAAGGAGAAATCATTAATAGCCTTTAACTTCAAGAAAATAGACTACTGCATTCGACCGGAAGTTCTCCAGCTGGACAGATGAGGGGGATGTGAGCTCTGAAGAGTCTCACATGAACTCTGTCTGACAAACCAATTCCGAGTTCCTTTTTGGATCATAACCCCCTTGGGGAGGGTGAAGAAGGGGCAGCATTTCATCGGATCCAGAGGGAGTGCAACAGGTCCCTCGTAGGTCGGAGATTTGCTCTCTGAATCGCAGTAGGGGTGACAGCATGGCAACATTGCTGCACAAGAAGCTGGCTTCCAGCCAAAGCTACTGAGCAGGAACATGCAGGACGAGATGGAAGCCTGATAAGAAGATCTAATTAACCGACAGTTATAAATCAGAACTTGGAAAAGGCAAAGAACCTTGAGAGTATAAAAAATATTAATGGACAGATCTGGATTTTGGCAAAAAAAAAAAAAAAGAAAGAATGGGAAAAATGGAGGGTTGAAACACTAGCCCAAAAAGAGCCATTTGCTTGAAATAATTTGGACAGAAAAGGAGAAAGTAGAGAATTGACAAACCCACTCAAATACAAACTCTAAATTTGGTTTTGGATTTGAAAAGATTGTGTTTTTAAAAGACACTAGGAGGTTGAAATGGAAACCAAAACATACTGAAGAGATTTGTCTCATTTGAATTTCTTCTAACACATCTTAAGCAACTCCAATTAATGAGAGGTAGAATGTAATAAAGGGAAAAAATCAAGAAGAAAGCACTATTTTCTCACTGATAACCTAATCTTGCCTGTGAATGTGGAGCGAAACTCTGAGCAGGAAGATTTAATTAACCAATTGCAATAAATCAGAAAAGCAGGAGGCAAAGAGAAACATACCAGAGTTTGGATATATGCAAGTTTGTTCCAATTAAGATATTTTGAGCAACTATAACCAACAAGTGGTAGAAGGAGCAGAAGAGCCAATAACTGTTTTTGGGAATTGATGTAAACATATAATAATAAGATATGATATTGGTTTTGTAATAATATACATGTGATTATATATTATGAAAATGAAAAAATAAAAATAAATTATACATAAAAAAGAAAGTAGACTACTGCTTCAAAATTTCTCAAGGCGAAAATAAAGCACAGTGTTTTCAAAAGATAACAAGTGGATGGGACAGACTTATTTACAAGTATTTATGATAGGTGATTTGACAGTGTATACATATATAGCAGAATCAGATATGGAAACATCCTTTTCCTCTTATGAAAACCATTTCTATTTGCCAAGGTGTGAACAACTAATGTTCTTCCCCATCCAAATCCCCAAAGTGTTGGGTTAAAGCATAGTTAAAGCATCTCTCACTTTAGTTGCAAGAAGAAATAATTTTGTTTATCCCATTCCCAAAAGATATAAGACAGGATTTGTTTGAGATAACAGAAGAAAGGGCTAAATTTAGAAAAGTGGCTGTTTGGAGAGATACATTATATTATCATTCAAAATGATAACAGAGATGAAGGAAACAATATACCCAGTGGTAGGATTCAAATAATTTAACAACCGGTTCTCTGCCCTAATGACCAGCTGGGTGGGCGGGCCTCAATGGTCATGTGACTGGGTGGGAGTGGCCAACTCAACATCATTTACATTATTGGAGCTTCGCCTTAGATGTTGCAATGTAATAAGGATTAACTGGAGAGGAAGTTTCTGGGAGCAGGGCAATAAATATTAGGCTAGAAACAACACCAGAATGTTTCCTTCCTGCCTTCTTTACAGCATAAAGTGGGGGAAAAAACAAAATAATATTTCTTCCAACAACCGGGTCTCCAAACTGCTTAGAGGGTTAACAACCGGTTCTCCCGAATAGGTGTGAACTGGCTGAATCTTATCACTGAACATACCTTTATTATCTTAATTACTATAGAAACCTTTTGAATGGTCAGAGCAAGCCACATACAGAGGTAAAGTTAAGGGAATAAATTCTTCTGTCTGGCTCTTCTTACACTTCCTATATTGTTGTCTTCCTTTTATTTTATTAATAATAAAATGTTAATTACTTCTTCTTGGCAAACAGAAGTCCATGCAGGTGGCTGGGCTGTCAAATCGGTTTTCGTTTCCAAAACATCCTCCATAATAAAACTTTTCACATCTCATCGTTCTGAGGTTAAAGAAATATCTTGCAATGTAACCTCGGCATATTCCTGGCTCACTTTCCAGCCTGCATATTTTTGGCACTTCTAAAATAAAAACAAACTCAAGGAAGATATTGAACATTAAACCAGCCCTATGAACTTTTAAATCTTGTATAGAATTTAATTAGTAATCTAGGAAATCCAAAGGACATTGGTGTGCAGTTAGTCACTAGTCACTATAACCTGTTGCTTCCTCAACCCTTCCTTTCTATCAGCTGAAAAATTTGAGCATTATTTTCTTAGAAATAAAATAACATGTTTCATGTCCATGTTCATCCCCAACAGATTCACATGGCAAAACAACCCACTCAGTTTTCTGAATAACTGACTTGATTACTGAATACTCTATCCTTATTGTTTCATTACATCTTGTCTTGCTCAGTTTGTCACTGAAGAAATCCTTTCTCAGGTGCCACTCTCAGATACATAAAAAGTATTCTCAAATTTCCATTTTGCTCCTCTTCTCTAAGCTATATATGCTTCTTTAGTCTTTCTTCACAATTCCTACCATTGGTCATCTTTGTTTTCTCTTTTCACAGTTTACACTAGAAGTACAAATCTTTCTTAATATCAGAAGCAAATAGGGGGATGGTTGAGCATGCTTTAAAAATGAATGGGACATAGCAGTGATGGCACAAGAGGAAGATGAACAACATTTTCAGCTTTGGGAAAAGTTTATTCCAGTGCATAATAAGCATACTTCTGTCATTAAGGCTGAGTAAAAATGTGGGGCCTCTCGTCTAACGGAAATCCAGAAGAGAGAGATATTTATTTTCTCTTATTGGCTGACTTACTACTCAGTAGCCTTTGATTCTGTTGAACTTATCAACTATAAATGCTGCAGTCTAAGAAAACTGAAGGAAAGTGAAGTAGGGAAAACTGGATTGATGCATGTGTTGTGGCCCGCCAGCAGCCAGCAGAGCTGGCAGCAGATTTGGATAGTGAGAAGGATGGGGAGAAACATGGGCCAGTCCTGGAGTATGAGGAAGGGTTAGATGAGAGCTCTGTGTTGGAAGCAGAAAGGGGGCCAGAGCCATATGCCAGTTATCAGCTGGCTTCAGAGTCAGACATCAGTGAGGTAGACAAACAGCTGAAGCCTGTTCCCAGCGTGCGCATGTGCAGAATTGCCAGATGAAGGGAACAGCTAACGGGGTCGACTTGGGAGTAAGGCGACAGGTGGGCAATGAATGGCCCCTCCCAGAGGAAATAAAAGAGGAGTGAAAGGGAAGTGGAGTTTGCAAGAGACATTAGTTCATTTAATTGGTTTGTGACTCTCTGAAACTCCTTTCCAAGTTTTGCAGATATCGGCCTGTCAGCTCTCCAAGCCAGAAAAGGTCTGTGACTGTAAATCATCCCTCGAAAGACTTTTCTGGATGTGAATGAACAGAATTCACAGTAAATTAATAAAAGGGTTTTTTGTTGGGACAAGGGGTTTGCTTCATGATCTTGGGAAGCCTAGGTCAGAACAGCATATGGCAGATTAGCCTAGATCATACAATGGCTTGAATAATAAATTATTTATCAAAAGACTAAACAACACAATAAGTCGGAATAAAATAGTCTAAGCATCTTAAGATATGCATGTAAACTTTATAAAACACATTTAACTGTTAATTCCTAATCAAGGTAACCTAATTGTAGGATAATACATATAAGGTTTCAAACTTGGACTTATTTTTTTATCAGATTAATAAATTAAACATGAATTATAAAAGTAAACAAAAGAAACGTTTCAATAATAACAATTATTGAAAGTAAACAAAAGAAACGTTTCAATAATAACAATTAAATCCACACTTGCTTTGAGAACTGAAATTTTAATAATAACATACTTTTGATCCATTTGCATTTTTCTGAACACTCTGTAAAATCTAAGAAATTGTTGTCGTTCCCTTGGCAGCCCCCATATGTAAACTCCTTGCAGGTTTGTGAGTATCTATCATAATACCACCTGAAATGTATGGCCCGACAGGGTCCTTCAAGGCGTGGCTGCAAGCAGATATCCGCAATCCCTGCCAGAAAAAGAGAAACAAAATAAACGAGACAAGCAACTCTGATACAAATCTTAGATCTTGAGAATAAAACACAATTAAGAAATTTAAAAAATGTGCTTTAAAATCCAAATGTTACAAACACTTCATTAGCAGCATAACAACTAGATTTCAAATAATAAAAATTTAAAAAAATATCATCCTCAATCAGAAAAAAAGAGAAAGAAGGCATTTCTTTGAAACTTTTTTTATTCAGCCTTTGCACCTGATTTCAAAACATTTCTGTAAGAAAATATGTCCTGCTCGTTCATAGTTTTTCAAAACTAATTTAATTTAAAATTTAATTTAAAATTCACTTAATTTCAGTCTATTAATCTGAGCACATTTGTTTGGGGAATTGAATCGGTTGCATGATCACTCCTTCTCCAAGAATTTGATATTTTGCTACTCCTTCTACAAGTGATGGGCGAGAATGAGGGCTAATCCTTAGGTGCATACATAAACCTTGATTGCCACCAACAATCAATAAATAATTAGTTAGCAATTCAGAGGGATGCCCTGGTTCATGGAGAAAGGGGGAAAATAGAGGAAAAGGTGAAAACTTCCTTTTAGTTTAGCACTATAGAGCCTAAAAAAGCTGGGTAATCACTAAATGCTGCTGAGTATCTGAATAAAGTATTCTAAAAGAGGAATATCAAGACCCAACAGGTTTTTCCTATCTTAAATCACCAGTCCCCTATTAGGGCCACGCAGGTTCTTCCTTGAAGCCAAATTTTAGGGAAGTTAATTGGAGCCGGGTATCTCACCGGAGCAAACCTAAACCCGCGATCTGCATGTCTACAGTCTAAGCTCCGCCGTGGGCAGCAAGAGGGAAGCACGCGAAGCGGCGTGGCGAAGGGACACTTATCTAGCGAGAACTCCGTTCAGATTCCCCGTGGGGAAGAACGAAGTCCAGCTTGAGCGCAGCGACCCCTCTTTTTCCATTTCCTTTCAAGAGAGCGAAGGCGAGAGGCTCCCCACATCGATTACCTGTCAGTGGGGTTTCCTGGGCACACGCCCTCTCTAGGAGTAGCAGCAGCAGCAGCGAGCACATCAAAAGGACGCAAGGGCTAGCCATGGTTCGCACTTCGCAACCAAAAGCAACCCAGACACCCGCGAGCGAGCCCCAAACAATGCTGGCTCTCTTCGGAATCCTCGCGCGACTCTTTATTGAAATCCTTGTTCCCTCCCTCCCTCCTCCTCCTGCTGGGCAACACTCCAAACTCAGCCCGGGAATACATCGGCCGAGGCCGGGTGATTCATGCTGTGATCAAGGAGCAAGGCAAATCTCTCTCCGGGGTTGAAACGGGAAGGACCACCCGCCAGCCTCCTTCTTGACGTTTCTCGAAGTGGTTCTCTCATCAGAGGAGTAATGTTTAGAAAGAGCGGGATGAGCCGTGCTGGACAACTTAAGTAGGAAGCTAGAGAGATGGAGAAGGAGAAGCCCACACAAGGAGATCTATGAATGAAATTAGCATAACGCTGGAAAAACCAGAGACTAAAACGGGGGAAGTAGTGGTAGATTGAATACCACCTGAAGTTGGTCCAAGAAGTGACTTTACCCATGGCTGAATATTTGCATAACTCATCAAGAGGCTGCTAACCTACGATATGTTACTACAGTTGCAAGAAACGTCCTTCTGGGTTCAGCTCCAAGTGGGGAAAAAGGCATTGAAAAACTAGGCTGCTTGTAAAGATGATTTTAATGATGGACAGGTTCACATGGTTTGAGTTCCTGGGGGGAAAAGGTGATCACATGCTTCAAGATGTTGGGTGGCTTGCTGAGAGTTCCTGAGTTTTTTGTACTCTGTTCGCCCCCACCTCTATTTCCTGTTCCTGTGTAAAAAATGTATTCTGATTGGTTGTCAGACTCACATGGGACCATGCAGGGGAAACTCTCTAGACTGTATTTTTGAGTCCATGTTTGGTTGAACATTGCTTCTTCCCAGATGCCCTGTGGTGAGATGGGTAAATGGCTAATACTGTCATGCCTTAATCCCATCACCCTGGAGCTGAAAGGGGGAGATCTCTGTTATGTAGAATTGATTGGCCCAGGCTTTTTAATGGCCCATTGATAAAGGTGGGAGCTATTAAGAGTGAGTTTGTTTCCTGCCGAAAAACATGTTTCTCCTTTTCTGATCCAGGGAAATCTAATATTCTGCCGTTTCAATATTTCCCAGGATATTTCATTTTTCTAGGAGAAGGGTGGGTTTTAATTTCCTACACTACTTCAACACAACATACAGCAAGAGAATGGCTTTCTCTAGATCACAAAGCTAAACAGCCTTGACGTAGAAAAGAATAATTGGATGAGGGCCCTAGATTGGAGGCCAGACTGGGTAGTTGAAAAAAAACATGGTAAGAAGGCTATAACAAATGCCACAAGAAGCAACATGAGCAATAATATAAAATCACCAGGCATCAAGTTCAGTTTAAAAGATCTTTTAATAACCCATCCACCCCCAATACCTAATCATGAAGCTAATGGAAAACTAAAATTGGGGTGGGTTGCTATGAAAGGTGTTTTCCAACCTGATGTTTCAAACTTTTATCTTTACTGCATTGTATATAGTGTGCTCTAGTCAGAATGAGCATAACCATGATGATTTGGGTGATGGCAATTATAGTTCAATATATTGGAAAACTCCTGTTCATAGAAAGTTATGTTATGTCCTCCTTTACAGGCTTGTACCAGAAATTTAGGTTGTGATCAACCATTGAGCTGCAGCCTTTGGATCAGAAATATCACTACAGGTTGTCCTCAACTTACAACAGTTCATTTGGTGACCGTTCAAAATTACAACATCACTGAAAAACTGACTTATGACCATTTTTCACATTTATAACCATGGCAACATTCCCATCAAAATTCAGACAGTTGGCAACTGAGTCACATTTGTTACAGTTACCATGTCCGGTGGTCATATCTTTTACGCCCTTTGGACAAGCAAAGTAAACAGGGAAGGCAGATTCACTTAACAATCATGTAGCTAACTTAGTAAGTGTCATAATTCATTTAACAACTATGGAAGGAAGGTTGTAAAATGGTATAAAACTCACTTAACAAATATCGCGCTTAGCAACATAAATTTTGGGCTCAGTTGTGATTGTAAGTCATTTAACAGTTTTGAAACTGTATTTTGATGCATGTCTGGTCTGGATAAAAGAGTGGGTGAACCTCCAGAATAAGAGTCTACTTGAATTAGAGGGCCACAAATTAAAGTTTGGATGGCACAGTTATTTTTGCTATGACAATGTTAAAGTTAATATTGATTTCACCAATCACTTTGCTAGATGTACCATACTAAGAGTTTCCAATAAATGTAAAACAAGGTTTTCTGTGAAGTTGCCTCTTTGGGTGTCCCCCAGTAAGCTTTTTTAAAGAAAATAAATGGTGGCAAAGCAGGACTGATAGACTTATGATAAAACAATATCTTTCAATACCCTCAAGTCAAGGGAAGAGTTAGAATTAGAAGGCCGTGCTTACTATTGGTTCACAAACCAACAACTGAAAGAAAGATTTAAACTAGATAAAAAGAGTTATGGGTGTGACTTTGTTAAACATGAATTGGAAATCTTATTGTGTGGTAGTGATGAATATATTATTGCTAAGATTCATAAAACATTATTGAAACTTAATTTGGAAAATAAACATGTAAAACATTGTATGATGATTATATGGGCAAGGAACTTTGGATATAATGTGATGGTTGAACAATGGGAGAATATGTGGATGAAAGGTTTAAAATTCATACTAAATTATAATTTAAAAAAAAGATAAATGTATCACTAGTATTTAACACCAGACAAGTTATAAGTGTATAAAGATATTTCAAACGAATGTTGGAAATGTACCGGTAAAAGTAAAGAACAGATCCTTTACCATTTATGGTGGATATGTGATAAAGCAAAGAAATCTTGAAGCAAGATTCATATCTTAATACACAAAATTCTTAAAGTGAAGATGAAGATGAAACCAGAAATTTTTCTTTTCTTAATGGAAAAAGACTCTTAATGGAATTCTGATCTTATGTGTGTCGATGGCAGCAAGACTACTGCATGCACAAAAATGGAAGGACATTTTGATTCCCTCCACGGATGAATGGCTACAGAAGCTGATGGAGTTGGCAGAGATTGCTAAATTGACAGTTTTGGTCAAAGAAAAAAATATAAGTACTTTTGTTTCTACTTGGACATTGCTTCTGGATTTTGTGCTTGGGGTAGAAAAAAAATGAAACTTTTATTTTGGGTTTTACTGATTAAATTTATTTGAAGTAATAGAAATGGTTACTTTATACTATTCTGGAAAATAAAAAGTTAATGCCTTATTCTACTGCAACAGAGAAAGTAGGAAATCAATGCCTTTTTTTCTTCCCCCTCCCTCTTCCTCACTTTTCTCTTCCCCTTCCCTTCCCCTCTGTGTACCACAATTTGCTCTTTTTTTTGTATTTTATTCTATAAATTAATAAACCCAGGTGCCCCCATGTTACACCCCTTTTAGGCGGCCTGCACTGGTTACCGGTTGTCTTCCGGGTGCGATTCAAGGTACTAATTATGACCTTTAAAGAGCTCCATGGCTTAGGCCCAGGGTACCTGCAAGAGCACATACTGCCACTGGTAGCCTCCCATTGTCCAGTACGATCCCACAGAGTTGGCTCCTCAGGGTGCCATCAGCCGGACAGTATCAGCTAGTGACCCCCAGGGGAAGAGCCTTCTCTGTGGCAGCGCCTTCCCTCTGGAATGAGCTGCCCCCAGGGCTTCGTATAATCCCCGACCTCCGGTCCTTCCAACGCGCCCTAAAAAGTTGGCTTTTCTAGCAAGCCGGCCTGGCCTGAACAAAACAAAATAAATTATTGGTCATTGTTAATTTTAATTCGAATTATTTTTTTAAAAAATGTTATTGTCAATTCTTATTGGGTTTGGGATATTCTATTTAATTTTTTTAACTTTTGTATTATGTGTTTCTTTTAATGTTGTATGCCGCCCTGAGTCCTTGGGAGAAGGGCGGCATATAAATCTAATAAATCTAAACCTAAACCTTTAAATTAATAAAAAAAATTCATCCAGAATTCTGATTGTAAGGATGACTACCTATACTGTCTTGAGGCATTGTAGGCATTGTATTTCATGGCCTTTTAAAATCTTGCCACACCCATATGTTTTTGTTTATATAATAGGTATATCAATTGTTGGCATTGGATTAAATGGCTCTTGTCCACTGAGTGTAGTAACAAATTAAAGTCTTTAGATACTATAATAAGTTTTGAGCAGACTGCAATATTCTGATTTTCCCCCTTTAGTTTTAACACTGCTGGAAAAAAATCAACATAATTAAAAAGACTTTTACCAACTTTAAACACTGCCAAAAGTGTGGCAAAAGCCTGTGGTAACTGAGCAACTTATTTAAAGATTATGGGATCCTTGATCTCTCATTTAAGGATTTCTGAAACATTATTAGGATGAAAGCTTTATAGATATTTTGATGGATCTCATTCCATAGGGCAGGAAATATTCTGAGCCTTTAAGACACTTTTCCACTTGCATTTACAGTAGCAAAGGATGTCCTAGCAACATATTTTTTCTGCCATGACATTGTCTCCATCTTACTTCTTGACCATTAATTTCAATTGTCTTTGGAAAAATCTTTTTAAATATCTGCATTTTCCTCTAGCTTGGACACTACTTACAGCACCTTCAAAGTGTATAAAATATGTTGGGTTTGCCCCCCTATTACCTTGCAAGGAGCCCAACAAATTGCCAGTGTCTTTCTAAAGGCAGGAATGCATCTGTAGTGAGAGTAACAAAATTCATACTAGTTATTTGCCAATTCTTAAGCAGATAGGACTTCAACTCAGCAGAGAGTCCTATAGAGTTTCATCCAGAAGCAATTCCATGGATTGTGTACCAGGATTCAAACTGCACAAGAGTTCAACTTCTGCTTTGATAATTAGTACTTGGGGGGATTATCTAGGAAAGGTAAAATGTTGGCTAGATTGGTAATTTATAAAGAATCTTCAAAGAAGACATTGGCAAGCTGCTAGTTTTATAACACTGCCAAATATTGCATAGATATAGTTCTCAAAGAACGCTTATTTTAAATCCAGTGCCTCATGGAATTAATTAAGTTAACCTTGAGG